ATAAACACATGTGAAGACTTTTTATTACTTTTTTTTGCAAATCAACAGGTGGTGCCAAAGCCAAACGAAGGGCAGCTACAACAAATTATCATTGTAATCTCCACAATAATACTGGTTGTCACCCTGGCCCATATCATTTCCTGTTATAGACTAACCTCGGCCCCCCATCTCAGAAAAGAAAGTTGATATGGCCCCCACTGAAAAAAGTTTGGGGACCGCTGCTCAAAACCTACGACGCTGTCTGACTTACCTTCGGTACCGGACAGTTCATGTATTCATGAAAACAGGATATATTAGAGGTCCGAGTTTGTTTGGAGACCGGCGTGACGAAGAGGAGACGCTACGAGTATTTTACTTACTGACACACAGACGGTTCACTGCCGCCATCATGCTTTTTGTCTAGTATTTAAACTAATATTGGCGAGAACACACCCCGTTTTCTGTTCACCTGACTTCCGGAATTGTCACAGGTATGAAAAGTTTATTTGTTCCCCAGTTTACTTTAATTATTCTGTTGTTATTCATATTATTCTGGCAAAATCTTGGCTGAGTTTAGGCCGAGAAATCCGGCTCAAGTGCAGCCCGACTGGTGGTCCCACAACCCACACACACACACACAACAAAATGGCTTTCCCGCTATTTTCCCCATGCCGGCCACTCCCATAGGTGCAGGCTAGAATCAGATTTACATGACTATTCTTTCGTTAAATTACACATTTACACAACATCAACACTCGCATTTTCATGGACAAACAGAGAGTAAACCAGCAAACATGAAACAAGCTTGTTTTACAGGTCCATGTACGAATTCTGTGTTTTTATATCAATACAACCCAATGGAAATTACCAGAAGAAAGATTTATTGAATTTGAAATGTATTACAATTTGTGATAAGCTGCTAAGAGACACGAGTCTGGTAGTTCTGAAGAGATCACAGTTCCCAGCAAAGATGCAATCAACTGTGGGTATCAGTGCAGACCAGTGGAGCCTCGGACTGACAGGGCAAAAATGACACAAAAATCCACTGTGATATGCAGTATTAAGTGTTATTGGAAACTTTGAGATCTCCCACTGTTGTGAGTTTAAACATTGTTATAATCACACAACAGGGATTTGCACATTCATTAAGTGTGGTATTGCATATATGTTAAGCAATACCATCTTCTCCTTGACCTTTCTCCTCGGCTCATTCCGCTCCCTTTGCAGCTCCTCCTTGTTACCTGACCTAAATCTTACTCCTCTTCTCATTCAGCACTTCCTTTAGAACTGGAGTAACCCGGGGCTTTTTGTTAGATAGCAACTGTATTGTCTTGGTGGGTACAGTGTTCTCTACACAGGAGCTGATTCGGTCTGTGATACAGTGTGTGGGACTGTTAATGTCCTCACCGTGAGGCTCACAGAGAACATCCCAGTTGGTCGAGTCAAAACTTAATGCCAAGGTCTGGTGTTATATCAGGGTTATAAGTTATGCAAGTAGTTTGTAGTAATAGATTTACTGTAATGTACATTCTCCCCTCAGATAATGTGTCCTGCGGATCAAACGTGATGAGAAGTTGTGAGATCTGACTACGTCGACCAACAACAACCACTCGTGTCCTTATGCAGAACAAGGGCAGCGCAGATACCACCACAGGTTCACATGTTCATACATGTCACAACACTACAACTATCAGTTATATGTTTGACACAGATATACAATACTATATACATTTTGTGTTCAGTATATGTTCAATATACTGAATCTAAAAAACATATCAAACAGGCTAGGCATCCGGAGCTCTGACTGTTTTCCAATTGTCAATGATTCATAGATGTGTTATCATATCAATATAAAACAGATTTACGTGACATGACAAACACATTTAAGTCAAACTTAGTGAGTCAGCGGTTTATTCATTTATTATTTTTGTTAACAAACTGTAAAAAGTAAAAATGTCATTAACATAAATTTGTTAGCACTGTGAGATGTTATTATTGTACATAATTATGATCTCTATAGGACCTGTATTTTAAAGTAGCTTGAAAGATAAGGTGAATATATATTACATTGATTTATGATTTATTTCTTTTACAAGTTAGTGTATATAACATCTGGTACTGTCAGATGTTTCAGTTTGTTTTCAATACTGCATTCATCCCCTTGATGGTTGTAATCAAGTGCTTTACTGATTAAAATATCATAATATAATTGTTGCAGAATTGGCCCTCCATACTTTCCTTTGTATTCAGGTAACTGTACTGATTGTTAACAAACCTGTCCTGTTGTCTGTAAGTCTATTCTGATCAGTAATATTTAATTTTTGGGAGGACGCACAACATTTCAAAGAGGAGGTTGGCACCAGTCAGAGCAGTGTTTCCTGGTAAGGAAAAAAAGTGTAAATGGTGGTTGTAAAAATATGTATATTAATATTTTGGTGAAAAATTTAATGTGTCAAGTACCTGTGGTGTCATAAGGTGGAGACACCTCCACTAGATCGCATCCGACAAGATTCAGACCACGACAGCCCCGGATAATCTCAACTCCCTAAATCAAACAAAGTTAAGAAAAATGTATTAATATTCATACTGTAAACTGCAGCAAATGAGAACAGAAAAAATAACATGTAAAGTTGTTTCATTATAACCTTCATCTGTGTATCATTTTGACAAACTCTGCTAGTTGTAATTACATCAGTGACAACCACTCTTAATTCCTCTGTTTGCATTTTTCTCCTGCATGCACGTACCTGTACATTACACATGTGGAAGTGGAGTACATTTTTTAATATGACGAGGTTGTGTCATAAGTTCCTTTATAAAGTCTGTTACATCGTGTTTACCTGGATGGGAGTTAGCCCTGCTATCTCTGGTGTGCCTGTTCCGGGGGCAAAGCCGGGGTCAAGAGCGTCGATGTCGAAACTGAGGTAAACTGGACCGCTGCCAATCTGAGCCCTGACCTCAGCCATCAGAGGTGCAAGAGATTTGAACCAACACTCTTCTGCTTGGACCACACGGAAACCCTGCACAATAGACAAACAAGGTAGGTTTGTTAAAAGACAATCCATTCTCTGTTGCTTATAAGGGACAATATGCAAGATTATGACTGGCCAATGGCACAAAATGACCTTACTATATCTATTATTGACTTACCTGGTTTGCCCAAGTGCTGATTTTTGACATTTTTCTAGTAATCGCAACAAGTCAAAAAGCCAAATAAAATTATCTGATTCCAGCGCCTCAGGTGTGAAGATTTTACTTTTTTCTTGTCATATTTTAGTAAATGTCAGTGAAAGCGAAACATTTGAAGCCTTTTTTTTTTTTTTTTTTACTTGTCACTGACTAAATGATTAATGAGACAATTGAGAAAATAATTAATCAATAATAACAAGAATCATTTGTTGCAGCCCTGCAGTCACAGACATGATCGACATGATATTATTTTTAAATATACTATGTACCATATCAGTGGGACATTATGAAATGTATTAACTGCTTATTCATAATTTGGCTATGCAATAAATCCAGAGTGTTGGTATTTGTCTGTTACTGTACCTTTAAGACCTACAGTATTTTAGCAGAGTACTTGAGCCTGTCTCCATTCATATGAATCTGGAGAGTAGCCTGAACCCCGCAGGCCGATCTGGACAACTCTCCTACAGTCCAGTAGCCCTTCCTCCACACAACGTCTGAACGGAGTCCCATGTCCAATCTTCTCCCCCAAGACCACGTCACTGGTGTCAGCATGAGCATCCACATGGACCAGACCCACCGGGCCATGCCTGATAAAATATCACAGAACAGACAGAGGGAGACACAGCGAAGACACAATGTATGAAACGTTTGAGTTTTTGCATGGGTTTCTTGTGGTGTGTAGCCATACAGTATATGTAGAAACAATGTACAGTCATGCAAAAGTCATAAAGAAAAATGAAAGATCTGTATTTGAGCTGAAATACTTGGTTAGTCAAATTTTGATAATCAGTTCATTTCAGCTGTTTGTTTATCAACCAAAAGTGCCAAATATGCACTGGCCACAGCAACTGAAATGTGAGGATTCTCTGCTTTTCTCCTTTTTTTAAAATCATTTTAGATTGAATATCTTCTAAGTTTTGGTCTGCTGGTTGGACAAAACAAGACATGTGGAGACAAATTTTCTACTTTTCAATCACTATATTCATTGCAAAATAATCAATCTGATAATATGGATTATATGCAGCCCCAGGGCAATGTTACATAACCTACTTACTTCTCAGCAACAGCCTGCAGGATTGGATATGCAATTGTGTGATCGCCACCTGCAGACACCAAAACTTCCTCAACATCTGACCTTTGATCGAACATGCACTTCAGTTTACAAGGCTATTTAAATGGCTAATAATTATACAGGCACATCAGAGCTTGCTTTTACTCTTATAAAACATTCACTGGGCTATCTTGACTATCTGTCTAAAAGCTGAAGCAATCAATCACTCCCTTTCATCTAGTCACTCTCACCCATCGTCAGAGGGATACATCCAGTAGCCAGGATCTTCCTGTAGGCCTCCCTGATGCGTTTGCAGGTGTCCTTCAGGTCATACACGTTCACATTGACGTCCCCAATATCGGCCACCATAAGGGACTCGAAAGGCGCTGCCCTGGTGCCACTGTTGTAAGCCCTCAACAGGGCAGACTCCATTCTGATGTGACGAGGACCGAACCTGTGGCGGTGGAGGAAATATCTGGTGTTTAATTTTTAGTGCTGCAATTTTTGAATCTGAATTTAGGAAGTTGTCTTTACTTGAGTATTTCCATTTCATGTTACTTTATACTTGTATTCCAAGACATTTACAGAGCAGCTGCAAATACTAGTTACATTCCAGATTAAGATTTTACACAAAACATATGGTCAGTGTATAAAATACGGAGCATTGTTATAAAGAACCCAGCATTATATGAAGCTGTTAAAATTAGCTTTACCTTCACAACATTAAAATGCTGCTTACATTAATGCATCAGTATATTTCTAATTATAACACTGAGGATTTTAATGTTGCTATTCGATATTTCTCTCACCACTGATAATGAAGTGCTTGTTTTTACATGAAATGTTTACATATGATCAGCTGATTCTTTAGAGTACAGAATATGACTGAATTGTTCTCTTTATCAACTAAACTGCAGTTTCAGTTTATCTTTACAAACTTGAAAATACAAGCTAAATACTGGTGAAGCTGTTTCAGAGGATGTTATACTGTAACCACAAAATAATGATTACAGTATAATGCTATGCTAGGGACGCACATGCTCATGGTGACACTGTATTATGACAGCAGCAACAGGCCCACACTTTAACACAGCAGCTGTAGAGACAAAACAGCACCTTGCTCCAGGTCGGTTCGAGGTCCCGGTATCTATTGGGACGCCGACAAACGCCGCATCAAGCCCGTCCGCTGTCTCCTGGTAAGGTAATTTGGCCATGGTGGGGATCCCTGACACCCGAGCAACAAACTCTGCGCTCGGTGGCACATTGTAGCGTTTCCCCGAGAGGTCTCTGTTTGGATTTATGCTTAAAACCCGCCTGCCGCTGCAGAGAAACAACGTATGTCGCGGCTGTAGAGAGAAGAAGTCCGCTGCTGTACAAGTAAAAGTGCGAGTTGCATTCAGGTTTCTCCAAATTGAAAACATACTTGCTGAGTTACGGAGCTCTGTGAGTTGTGGTGAGACAGACTTACGCTGCTACTTTAAGTGTTTGCTTGAATGCTCGTAACATCCCTTGTCGTGTTAGACGCAGGGAAATGACAAACAGTAAACCAAGGTTCTGTTGAAGGTTTAACGAAGTGGTTATACCTTGTTATGTTGAATGCACCACGTCTGGCAATTCAGTAAACCGTACACAGTATAATATCAGCTTAGCTGAGATATTAATTTGTTTCGTTTCTTGTCCGGTTGTCCGTGTGGCCTTCAAAGTTACGATATGGTTGTGAGCCTGAAGGCAGCGTGAGTCCCCAAAACAGTCACAGAGCAGGTGGGAGGGAAGGTCTATGGAAGCCTACCTCTGCCCGGAACAGAAAACAAACCATGATTGAAAACAAATAAATACATAAATAACGCCTCCTGTTGGTATCCTAAAGTGGAGGTTGGTGTATAAACAGTCATCAATTGCTGGCTTATAATTTGACTTAAGAAACTTTAGTAATTTATTTATTATTTTTCATTATTATAACCTTTTGTCTTGTAAATGCAATGATGGCATAAGCTCTTTGTCAAGCGACAATCACCACTACCTGCTCCCCGCAAGAAACTACCTTCAGTGGCAGAGAAAAATTAAAATAGCCCCTTTAAATAGCGAGAATTTTGACTTGCCAAGTCAAAATAATGCCAGAAGTCAACACTTTTTGTTTTGTTTTTAACTTACTATTATGTACGATAAAAACAAAAATACTCATGGTAAATCAAAATTATGGGATTGTAAATCAACATTTTGAGTTTCAAAGTCACAATTAAGATATAGTCAAAATCATGCCATAATAAATATACTTACCACAAGCATTTATGATGTCCATACGCTAACCTATGCTTCAGTTAACCAATTTTCAGTTTCATACCAATTATTGCCTGCCTTGGTTAAAATTAAATGACTTTGAAAACAAACTGTGGAAATCCCTTTTTGTACACTTCCACAAATTTTCCACAAATGTAAGTGTAATGTAACTTTTGGCAATTTGAAACATTTAGGAAAGAGGATTTGATTAACTTTATTTTACTTTTAGCCTCATTCATTAGTTGAAATTTAACAGAAACAAACTAAAATGTAACTTATATAAATTTTTTTGGTAAAGTAAGATATTAATATTGTACATAATCATACCATCTATAGAACCTAATTTGAAAAATTTTGTATTTTAAAGTAGCTTGAAAGATAAGGTGAAAATATTACATCTATTTGTGATTTATTTCTTTTACAAGTTAGTTTAAATTATATCTGGTACTGTCAGATGTTTCAGTTGGTTTTCAATACTGCATTCATCCCCTTGATGGTTGTAATCAAGTGCTTTATTGATTAAAACATAATACTGTAATTGTTGCAGAATTGGCCCTCCTTACTGTCTTATTCAGCAGAACAGTGTGGTGATTTTGTAGTCAGGTAACTGTATTGATTGTTAACAAACTGCCTTTCCTGTTGGGTGTTTCATTTTTTGGAGGACACACAACATTTCAAAGAGGAGGTTGGCAGCAGTCAGAGCAGTGTTTCCTGGTAAGGAAAAAAAAAGTAAATGGTGGTTGTAAAAATTTGTATATTTATATTTTGGTCAGAAATTACATGTGTCAAGTACCTGTGGGTCATAAGGTGGAGACACCTCCACTAGATCACATCCGACAAGATTCAGACCATGACAGCCCCGGATAATCTCAATCAAACAAAGTTAAGCAAAATGTATTAATATTCATACTGTAAACTGCAGCAAATGAGAACAGAAAAAAGAACACGTGAAGTCTCCAAATTTCAGTAACAGCCCCTCTAATTCCTCTGTTGACATTTTCGTCCTGCATGCACATACCTGTACATTACACATGTGGAAGTGGTTTAGTATATTTTCAATATGACATAGTTGTGTCATAAGATCCTTTTAAAAATCAGAGCACAGTTTAGAATGATTAAAGGGATAGTTTGTGTTATTTGACGTGGGGTTGTGCAAGGCAGTCATATATAATCATATCATATTCCTACACCCAAGCCCACCTACACTTAGGTCTTTCTGACTCAATCAGCTGATCTGCAGTGTAATACATTGTGCGCTTTAGGTTTGTGAGTGTATTAATACGGTAGTTCAACAGTTAAGAAAATGTAGTTCCAAAGGAACGGGCTATTTGATGGCAAGAGATGAACATTTTCAAAATAAAGCTTATACTTCAACTGATATTGGCTTTTTTCTGTGGGTATTTTTTGAAGTGACTAAGTCCTAAAATTTATCCGCAATCAGCTGCTCATTGAACTCTAATTGTTTGGATGTTTCCCTGGAAAAACAATATCCTGTCTCTACCAATGCTTTTGTATCATGATGCGTTTATTTTCTAGTGTCCATAATCTGTAGTGTCCATGACCTCCAATACGTTTTCCACACAATGTGAAACAAAAAATAGCCACGAGGTTGTCCAAGCACAGTCAAAAACAGTTTAAACCTCTTCCAGTGAGCAACACCTGCAATTACTGGCTTGTGGCTTAAATTTCCTGTGGACATCCTCTGCCTTTATCATACACCCTCTAGTGCTCAGAGGAATAACACACAAATTAAATACATGGCTCCTACAACTTGTTTTCTGCGGCCCCCATCCACAGAAAGTACATCACTCACCTTCTGACCAGATGCTCCTGCCTGTTTCTCCAAACTGGGTACGCACTGATCCGAATCTACTGTAGGTATTACACTGACTATGTATAAGTACCTCACACAACCTCACTTCAAGTAAGCCAAACTATCACTTTAAATTCTATTTCATCATGTTTACCTGGATGGCAGTAAGCCCTGCTATCTCTGGTGTTCCAGGGGCAAAGCTCGGGTCAAGAGCATTGATGACGAAACTGAGATAAATTGGACCCTTTCCCATCTGAGTCCTGACCTCAGCCATCAAAGGTGCAAGAGATTTGAACCAGCAGTCTTCCGCTTGGACCACATGGAAACCCTGCGCAATATACAAATAAGGAAGGTATGTTAAGAGACAATATGCATGATTATGACTGGCCAACAGTTATTTACTGGCTCACTGATTGTTTGACCAAGTGCAGATTTTTGGCATCTACAACTTATTATCAGATCCAAGCAAAAATGGTCGCCTGGAGCTTTAAAAACTTACCATCCTCATTTAGCTCACTTATCCATCACTGATATCTGATTATTCGTTTTAATTTTAACTTGAAAGTAATAGTTTAACATTTTGGAGCATACACATATTCACTGTATTGTTTTAGTGTGCATGAAGGCAGGCCAACCAGAAGGGCATTACAGTCGCAAGACAAGAGATAACCATGGCCTTAACCAAGAGTTGGGTGGCATACTGAGTCAGGTAAGGCAACCTCGGCTGGGGTAAGAGATGGAAAAACGATTTTGATATTGATATTGTAATGGAGAGACTGATTGGCCGGGATGACTCATTGTTCAGCCGTAGAGAGGTTTAGTTGAAGGTGGCGTTCTGTCATCCATGTGGAGGCACAAGTTTGTACCAAGCGGCAACCTCTGGGAATGAAAAATGAAGCCAAAACCGAAGTGTTGGCTCCACACTCACCCCCACCTAATTGCCCATTTTTAGCGCCGGAGTTATGCTGAGTCAGGTGGTGCCAAGATGGTGACAGCGGAGCAGCCCACTCTGAGCTTCAAAACTGCTCTTCAGAAACCAATGAGTGACGTCACAGAAGCTACGTCCATATAGTCTATGGTTTTTACATGTCGCTGACATTCACATTAATTTTGTCAAACCTACTCATGATAACACATGATCTACATGACAACAAGATGTTTCATACACTACCATACTAGTGATGAGACATAATGATATTTATTAACTGCTTATTCATAATTTGGCTATGCAATAAATCCAGAGTGTTGGTATTTGTCTGTTACTGTACCTTTAAGACCTACAGTATTTTAGCAGAGTACTTGAGCCTGTCTCCATTCATATGAATCTGGAGAGTAGCCTGAACCCCGCAGGCCGATCTGGACAACTCTCCTACAGTCCAGTAGCCCTTCCTCCACACAACGTCTGAACGGAGTCCCATGTCCAATCTTCTCCCCCAAGACCACGTCACTGGTGTCAGCATGAGCATCCACATGGACCAGACCCACCGGGCCATGAACAGACAGAGGGAGACACAGCGAAGACACAATGTATGAAGCGGTTGAGTTTTTGCATGGATTTCTTGTCGTGTTGCCATACAGTATGTGTAGAAACAATGTACAGTCATGCAAAAGTCATACAGAAAAATGAAAGATCTGTTTTACAGCTGAAATAATTAGTTACTCGATTTTGAGAGAATTAATCTACAACAAATTTGACAATTGATAAATTGTTTGAGTTGTTTGTTTTATCAACCAAAACACTGGCTCTGGCTAAATGTGAGGATTTTGTGCTTTTCTCCCTTTTTATCATTTTAAATTGAATATCTTTTGGTTTTGGTCTGCTGGTTTTTTAACTTTTCAATGACTATATTAATTGAAAAACAATCAACAATCATTCATATTGAATCCACGGCATCTGGTAATTCAATAAGAATATCAACCTTGATGAGATATCAATTTGTCTGGTTGTGAGTGTGGCTTTCAAAGTTTCAAAGCCTGTAGCCCATCTCTGCCCAGAAAAGAAAAGAAATAGATCATGATAAGAGAAACAAACAAACAAACAAACAAAAAACTAACACTAATATGTAGGCATAACTCCTCCTGTGGGCACTCATAAGTGGAGGTTGGTGTATAAACAGATCAGTGTCATAGTGGTAAAACATATAGTTGTGGGCCTTCTAGTATAATACATGTGTTATAATCAATGACAAATATTGTACATGAATAAACATATAAAATGTACTTATAACTGCTTGAGATCACATCATAGTGTGTTGAAAATTATTTATTAAATTTTCATACTGCTTATGAACATTAAGTAGGGGGACTCCAAAGAAAGTTTTTCCTTACTGAGTCTAAAGTATGAGATACTAATGTTTTGTTTTTGACTTATTATATAAGATATAGAAATGTTTTGAGCTACAGTCACAATTAAGATAATATTAAAACTACTACATACATTATATGTGTAATCTCTCTATTTAGTTGTGTGCATGGCATATATATATAAATATATATATATATATATATATATATAAGCTCAG